TATTTAGCTGCACTAAACAACCTCTCAACTGCTACGGATGTTCCTTTCATGAAGCTGAGGTTCTCATATGCCGTTGTCTAAGTCATTTTCAGGCGCTTGCGTTCTCGTATCTGGTGGTAGTAGTCGACCATTTCGCCGTGTACAATGCGTCTAGACGGGGGGGGGCTGTTTTAACTTCAAACTGCTTTATAGCAGCTTTCTCTCTGGTTGACAAATCTCCTGTGGTGTCGTTAAGGACCTTCGTTATTGCTGCTTCGAAGACAGGATCGTGCACAATGGAGGCGTATTGTGCAAGGTGATGGCTCATCTCCGGATAGTCCTCCAGAATAGCGTCGAAAGTCCCGCGAGCAGAAGCCACGGTGACATTCTTGTCTTGGAGGCCGACACGTAGTGTCGAAGTAGTACTTGATCGACGCGGGCATTCCGTCACGTCTGGCTTTATTTTTTGAGAGAGCCATTGTAGAGATTGGTGAGGTACACACAGGGAGTGTTTGTGCTTCTGCGACTGAGAGGATTTAGGAATGAAACTTTTGATGCACTTTTGAGAAATAACCTATTCCGCAGGTAGACTAGTAATCTCTTCCGCAAACGCTATACCTTAAACTAGAAAATTTGGGCGGACAAGACCTCGAAGGAAGATCTAACTTCAAGGTAGACTTCAAGATACTTCGTACTTAACGCTAGATTATTGCAATTTGAATATTGCAATTAAAATACCCGATTGCATGCCTCACCAAAATTGCAATACCAAACTGCACCTAAAGAGCCAACTGCAATAAATGCGAACGATCTACGCGAAATCATCATAAAAAAATAAAAGTGCAACGTGACCATAAACTATTATGGGGGAGTTAATTCATACGAACATCCTTGTTATCTGGCCTTGTTACGTTAAGATCACCCTCTGTTTCTTATCCGATATCTCCGCTTGATCGGGTGCCTTCCAAAACCCATATAAAACGGTTTAGTTAGCCGTGGTAATGATTTAAGAGAGTGTGTCCTGCACCCAACTGGGTTGTCGTGTTGAGGCCAGACTTTTACCCCTAGCCCCTCGACGGCATCCGACAGACTGTATAGCGTATACACACGCCGTCAGCCACTGATTTTAAGGGGAGGTCCAAATCGAAAATCTGCAGCCGGAGAAATGGACTTGCGAGTGATGCCGCCAAGGCCTACCGTCTGCGCATCGCGAAGCAGCTCCGGCAGTGAGAGATCGGCTTCAGGGAAGAGTGGTCTGAGTGATGAGGAGTGGGTGGAGTCTGCTTCGAGTCCCAATGAGTACAAGGAGCAGCATTGCATCTATGACCGGAACGTCTGAACGCTCCTACGCAGCGACTCCGCCCAAAAGGGCGACCTCGACTTCCACGAGTCCGAGGTCGTAAAGTGAGGAGGAACCTCGTGTCATCCTTCACAGCGACGCACAAACTAGAGGTCCTAGGCCACTTGACAAGGGGTGGGAACATCAAGCGAACAATCAGTAATTTCTATCCTGATCTTCCTCAGGCTAAATATGACAGCCGCCGTACACTTATTCATTGTTGGCGCCGGACACGGCCCAAACTCGAAAAGTTATGCGGCGATTGTGGCGGTGCCAACAAGAAAAAGTCACGAGCGAAAGGTGAGGGCACGATACTGCCAAAAGAAAAGGAGCTTTGTTTGGTACGTTGGATAAATGATCTGAGGGAGGAAGGGGTGCCTGTTACTGCAACTATGTTACGCATTCAAGCATTAGAAGTAGCAGAGAGTGCTATGATCACCCTATTTGATGCGTCGTGGTGCTAGCAAAATCGTTTCAAAGAGCGTCATCGACTTTCTCTGCGTTGCAAAATGTAGCAAGGGCAGATTCAGCCGCCGGAACTCGCCCAAGTGTCGACTACTTGCGATTAAGAAACAAATGGATTCAGAGTCTAAGAGAGCAGCTACAAGCGCGAAAACCTGGTGTCGCTTTTAAGTCAAAAGCACTAGATCGAACAGAGCCCTGCAACTGGATTCATTCAACGTGGAGTGACGTGTCAGCCTCCACACTTTCCGCCGACTTCCGAAAATGCGGTTTGATTGAACGTGTTGGTGGGGAACACGACGATATTGAACCTGAAAGTACTCGAGTGCACGAGGATGCAAATGACATCGTGAATGAAGTCCTAATATCGGGGGATTTAGACATGGAGATAGGAGAATTTAGTTTGGACGATGATTTTGACAACATGTTCCGAGCCGTTGCACATATTAATCTACAACAATAGATTTTTTTATGAGCACTTTGGATAGACAGTACATGCAATTTCTGGTCTATGTGCGAGCACTTTTCTGAATGTCATTACTAAGGGAATTCGGTACACAACAGCTTGAATTCTACCATTGTGTATTGCTCTGTCAGAGGTTACATCTTCTTTTTCACTTGGGCAAGTTCCGTTTAAGTATATTACTTCGACTTCCTTCTCCCGACTATCAGTGTGACCACTTTGCCTTAAGTTAGCTCTTCGTACGCTGTTATAGGCTGTTTCATTGACACTAGAGTTGCAACTTTTCAAGGCAGCGTCCTTACTGTCTTCCGTGAGGTCAACGATAAGCTTTCGACGCGCTCCATTACTGTTTTTCCTGTTCTTAAGAAGAATAATTCTAAGAGGGATGGTACTTTGCAGCATTTTGTCTTGGTGAGTGCGCGATATACACTTAAAGACTTCGTTTGCATTGTTCCTTTGTACACTTTCTTTGAGTCACGAACAAACACGCGTCGCGTCATGCGAAATACTTTCCTTTACTTCAAGCCGAAGTATAGGATAAATTTCTCATGACGGCTTTAAGTAGAAAAAAAAACCGCATGGTGGCTGTTTGTGAAGGCAACCTTAGTGCTCTGACTATACGTCGGTGTTTGTTGGAAAGTGTCCTTTACCCGCAAAACCGAGAGCTAAACCTCGACGATGTGTAACTCTGTTCTGCCACTACACCGTCCCTGTGGGCGAACGACGGGTTTTGGGCATACTGGTACGGTTAGAAGGACCTCTGTAACTCAAAGGTTGGACAGTACACCGTTCACTCTAATTAGTCGTGCTTAGAAATTAGTCGTGCATTTGCGCTTTAGTGACGTCACAAATGTGGGATATTTAAGAAGACTCTCAACTCTAAACAAAAGCACTGGTTTTGGAAACATCTGGATTACTTCATTCTAGGTTTGAAATTTGAACGAGTAGATTTAAGTACCAGGCAACTTAATTTCAGTTAAATTGTGCTCCCAACCTCAACACCATTATCGGTCATGACATGACTAATAAGAGTGAACGGTGTATGTGTGTGGGTATCAAAGGTCGTGTCACCATCACGGACCTGGTGCCTCACACGCAATTTGACAAACGTTTTGTGTCTCACACACCTGCTGACATTTTCTCATGAATTATACAGTAACCCTATTAGCCAGTAAATGGGTAGTCTGTACATAATGATAGCAGCAGGGTCAAAACGTGCATCACTCTATTTAAAACTGAACAACAGAGTTAATATACGCCTCAAGTGGCATTAAAGAAATTTAATACTGAATTCCTTGACTGGCAGTGAGAATTGGGCCAACAAAAGCATACTTTATTAGAATACATGAACTAGACCATTTCTCCAAGTTGCCAATTTTACCAACCATTGTGCAAATGGCCCGTTCTAGTGTGGAGTAACACCATTTTTATTTTTAGGCTAGAGTATTTGGCTTTTCCCACGACTTACGGATCTGTATCTTACAGACTGAAATACAGCATGGTTTTGCAAAACCGGTTTACAGTACCGGTACAATTCAATGCAGTTTGCATTTTCCTCAGTACATAAACAACAATCCCAAGACTATCTTGAAGGCAGGGTCTTAATGGATAATGTAACCTCCTTTATGTAATATTAAAATACAGTAGTATGAAAGTTGAGAGCAAGAGAGTGACTTTTACCACAAAATGAGTTTGTAAGCCGACGGGTTTTCCCCATAAGGGGTGAAAGCCGACTCTCTCGGCAACACGAACCCAGCAGGACCAAGCATGGCTAAACCTCGCTCAACCCTACATATATAGGGTTAAAGCCCAGGAAGGTCTGAATTTGGTTTAGGAGGGTGATATAATTCACGCCAAGTCCTCCACTTCTGGACTTATGACACCCATTTCCCCCTTCTGGCAATAATCTTTGCCGTGAGAGCAAAGACAGAGCACGCCAAACACATGCATTTACTGCGTCAGCACAAAGTAAATCATTTGACTTCTGTATTAATTTGACCTTCTGAGTGTCGCAATAAGGCATAATCGACGATTAGAGGTCACAGCAGGAAAGTGACCAGCCGCGCTTCGCTTGGCTGAGCGCCCCTTCGTCGCCCCCGCGGTTCGCTGCGCTCGCAATATGGAGATAGAATGTACTGGAAAGTTTAGTGCTCGGCTCGCTGGTGAGCTCAGCACTGGGCCTACCTCACACCCGCTCACCTTTGTTGGCTACGGCAACCACGTCGCCCAGCCCGTGTGTGTTATCTCAGCGATGGGCGTGTAATCTACAATTTTCTGGAGAGCAAATGCCTTGCAAATCGCAACTTCGAAGTCGTGCTCCCCGGCACAGTCAGAAGAACCGTGTGTCCACCGAAACGTGCAAACACGGTTTGACTGGCACACTTCGTTCTGCCCGTTCAGTTTTTCAATAAAACTCTCACTTGCATCTGTGTTAGCTGTACTTTCACGGCGTTGGCATTTATGAAGAACACCAAAAGGTATATTAATACTGCAGCTTGTTTCGTACATGTATAATACTTCAGAGGTACCGGTACACACGTACATGTACTGTATTAATATTAATTTGATACTTAATGAGTACCACCTTGCGAGATCACACCAGCTAATACTTTTGAATCAATTAAAACCTGTAGTATTGTACACGTATTTTTTTTAATAATAATACAGTGCAGATTTTTTCTACCCAGACCAAGTATGCGGGTTGCATTACTAGTAGATGAACCTACGCTGTATATATGGGCTTTTGTGCTTATTACAATGCCGCCCAACCGCGTGGTTTGAGCATTTTACCTGTTGGAGTTCTCACCTCCCAAGCCAAGAGAGACCTGTGGCCGAGCTTACCCCACACCATCCTGAGATGTCTCTTGAGCAAGGCCCTTCCAAGGTGGCGATGGAATCCAGCGGCTCTCGCCCGGCGCAGCGAATCAGACTGAAGTGGACAAGATTACTTCCATAGACAAGCGTTCAATTGCAAGATTCTGGAAAGCTTGAGACTGTAACAGTACAGTTCTATAAGAATCCTGTTGGCATGACACGTTCTTGAGCTCCTCATTTTCCAATCTACTCGCTTGCGAGAGGATTACCTTAAGCCACTACCAACTCAAAACCATGGTGTACACGCCCCGTGCCTACCTCGTCTCCGCCGCCGTCGCCCTGGTGGCGATGCAGTTGCAGCTACCTCGCTGTTCTACGACCCCGAGACCATATCCGGTACGGATGGCACAATCAGTGGCAAGTTCCCGGCTCGTGGTGCCGAGGTCGCTGACCAGGACTGCACCTTCACGGTGGAGGTGGACCCGACTCTGCCGGACATCGCGACCATCTCGACGGTGCCGGTGACCTATCCGGGCCTGCTGGCCAACCTGACCACGGTGCCTTCTGAGCCCTTGTTCACGAAGGTGGGCACAGCCGTATTGTCGGAGCCTATTCCGGCGATCGACGCCGATCAGGATAGCTACGTCGGTAAGTCGACGAGCACCCCGGTCACCGTGCCTGATACCAAGACGGGCGTCTCGACACCGTCGATTGTCAAGAGTGCCACGGACTGCGCCACCGGCTGGGAGGACAGCAGCACTACCCAAGCGAAGATGGAGAAGAAGCGCCGCCTGGAGGCGAACTCGAACAAGGATATTGCCAAGCTGGAGGCCTACTTTGGCACGTCGATGGAAACGACGCTGAAGAACCTGCCTACTAAGGGTGTGCGCACGCCGTCGCCGTGGGCCGGTCCGTACTGGCCGACCTTCCAGGACAGTATCAATGTCCAGTGGAGTGAGGGTGAAGCCAGCCCTGCCGAGAAGTACGCCAAGGCTTTCGGTCTTGACGTGACGGATTTCATGAACAAGGTGTCGGAAGACAACGGCATTGACTCCATGAGCAAGCGCCCCAAGTGCACGTCAAACAACGACTGTGCCAACCTCACGGACGGCAGTGGCTGTGGCATTCGTGCTGGCCAGACCTCGGGCTACTGCATCCCCACCTGGTTCGGGATCTGCCACGCCTGGACACCTGCCTCGATACTGGAGGCCGAGCCCAACTGCCCGGTGACCCACAACGGCGTGACGTTCCACCCGATGGACCTCAAGGCGCTGATCTCGGACATCTACGATGGCGCTTCGGTTCCGACGGTGTTTACTGGAACACGTTTCAACGGTGGCAGCGACACTGTTGACGAGTACGGCCGTCACTCAAGCGCTGCGTACCGTGACTTGAACCCTGCCTTCTTCCACATCATCACGACCAACCTTATCGGCAAGTTGAACGCCACGTTCATCGCTGATGTCACCGCCGGCTCGGAGGTGTGGAACCAGCCCGTGCGTGGCTTCAAGGTGTTCGAGCAGACCGAGATGTCGCTCGAGGAAGGCGCCCAGACTTTCTACGGCCTCGAGAAGTATCCGTGGAACGCCGCTGCTAAGAGCCTCGTGTACGTGAAGATGCGCTTCTCGTGGATCTTCGAGACGTACACGGACGGTGGTCTGGTGGCCTCGGGCGAGGTGGACAAGTTCACAACGGGTGCCTACTACACGTACCTGCTTGAGATGGACGACGATGGAAAGATCATCGGTGGCGAGTGGGTCTACAAGTCGGACGAGGACCACCCCGATTTCATTTGGTTCCCCAAGGCGAAACCTGCTGCTGACACGGTGACCAGCATTGGTCTGAGCTACGCTGATGTGAGCATGCTCCTGGAGAAGTCTGTCGCCTGCTCGGACTCTTCTGCTTCTTCGACTGCTGGATCCCATGAGCCTGCGGGCTCCGCTGGCTCGTCGTCGCCTTCGTCGTCTACGTCAGCTTCAACTTCGGGATCGGCTGCCAGCTCTTTTGGGGCGACGGGATCAGCGTCGACTGGTTCGGCGACGTCGGCTAGCGCTTCCAACAACCAGGCTTAAGATTCCTTCGCCAAATCTTTTGCTGTTTCTCTGTTGACGGCAATCCCATATTCTTCCGAAGTGAAGATGATTCCTACTACGTAGTACCAAACAGATTCACCCAGTGAATGTTGCTTGAAGAAGATTGGGTGAAACAAATCTCTCTTTTGAAGTAGAATAACCCATTGGGTGAGTTTTGATAAATCTCTTACTGTACAGTAGTTGGAATTCGCCAGTGACAGATAAGTGATTCTTGCCGTACTGTACGTGATTTACGAGTTGCCGCTTATAATACTAGAATGCGCTGACAGTGCGAGGATCTCCACATAAAGGCAACAAAGATGGTGGAGAAAAAAAGACGAGTGCTAAGATGGCGCAGTTGCCGATTGGAAGTTCTAGAGTGTAACCTGTAGGAGAATGCATTGCTCAAGAAAAATTGTTCTTCATGATGACGTTGTACGGCGCGCATTTGTAGAATATATGCCCACCATGCTACAAGCTGTTGAAGAATCATCTGAGATTGGAGCTTATTAATGACAGTAGCAAGGACATTCGAAGGAGCCGTCGTCCGAATTGCTGCCACAAGTGGTTACATGTAGCGAGCAACAGAAGCATTTATATTCCAAGCTTCGAGTATCACGAACACTCCTTGCGTGCCCCAGCTCGAATCTCTACGTATAAAGTAAGCATATGCTTCAAATGTGTGCACTTCTTTAAGTTCAATTGCTGATTCTGAAAACGCGGTACCCATACAAATTTAAGTCATTAAAGAATACCGTTGTATTTCGGTCATACAATTACTGTTGTCGTTGGCAACCACTACTGACCCGAGTTAAAGCCGAGTTACGCGCTATCAGTTGCACTATTCGATAGGCGATGGCAAATTTTACGTCTCTACAAGTTTTCACGCCACCCAGTTTAAAACTGACGGCCTTGCAAAGACTTCACAAACTTTCCGTCATCATATCTTTGCGACCAAGTGTCCGATTTAGTTCAAAATTCGACAAAAAACTTACCGTAATCCGAAAAGTAATTTAGACCAATCAGTTGTCAGTTTAGCGCAGCTACATACACCATTTCCCAAGCATTTGCACAAAAAAAGGATTTATACATTTTTCGACCAAACTGCAAAATGAACTCCTCCAATCGTTTCGGTGCGAATTTGTGCCACCTTTCAGCCCAACTCCTGCACATTCCCCCTCCATTATCGAAAATGTCTTCCACCCAGCAACCTTTCAAGACCAACGTCTCCTTCGAGCGAGCCCAAGCACAGGCTAGGGTCGTGCGTGCCTTTCAAGACGGCAAGAATTGAAGAGAGGTAGCTACTGCCAACGACGTCAACTACTTTACCGCGCGGCGCGCCATTCTTGCGGCTGGCCAAGAACCCAAGAAGTGCGGCGGCTTACGACAGTCGTCTGTCAAGATGACGGTAGACGTTATGAGTAAGATCGAGGAGCTGATCGACGAGACTTGCCGCATGACACTGGAGCAGCTGAGCGACAGGATCCACGCCGACTTAGGGGTTATCGTCAGTAAGACGTCGGTTCACCGGGCGCTACAGGGTATGCTTTACTCTACGAAGCGCGTACGCATCGAGAAGGCGACGATGAACTCGACCATCAACAAGGAGAAGCGAAAGACGTTTGTCTTAGAGCTAAACAAGCACATTAAAAAAGGAAATGTGGTGGTTTTTTAAGATGAGACTACCGGTAATATTAATTTATATTTTCGAGGAATGAAGGTTGGTCCCGCATTGGTCAGCGCGCTGTCGTCCAGTTGCCACCATCACAAGGCAAAACCTTCACGTGCAAGGCGGCGTTTCAAGCGGCTCTGGGCTAATCCTACTTCGAACTCATAACGGCTCGGTCAAGAAACAAGAGAATGCGGGCTTCATAGTAGACTTGTTCATTGCCGCCCTCCAGTCAGAGGAGTACAAAGAGCTGCAGCCAGCCGAAGTCGTGATCGTCACAGACAATGCTCCGGCACACCCTGACGTTGAAAACTTGGCGCGCGACTACCTCGTCGCTGATGGCATCGTGAACGTGAACAAGCTGAAATTGCTACGTCTGGGTCCCTATAGCCTTATGCTAAACCCAATCAAGGGGTGCTGGAACTCGCTAAAAGCAAAGATGCACCGCTTCACGGCGGAGAGCAAGCAGGAGCTTTTAGTGCGTGGCGAATATGACACTTGCACAGCGCACCAGGCGGCACTGATGAAGGAAGCGGTGGAAAAGAGCAAGAGTGTAATAACACGCCGACTTGTATGGCGCTACGAGAGGCACTGCCTGCGTCATTGGTTTACTGCGGAGCGAGGTATTATAATGACATGCCACTCGGAGCTTAGGTTAGAGGTTTGCAATTTGCAAAACATGAAAAATGATTTGTTTTTGTCCATTGTGTGCGTCCCTGTTTTTTTTTTGCTTTGCCGTTTGGTTGGCAACATTTGGGACTTGACTGGGAAATGAAGTAGCTTCACAATGTGTGACCTCTAGTTTGTATTAAAATCCAAGCTAAGCTTACTTATAAATAAAAAATTTAGGACGTTCACTCTGGTAGTAAATATCCTTAAGCACTTCCTCCGTGCTAGGTGCTGTCTGACCCTGTCACATACTGATATGTTAAAAGATTTGCTCATGGGAATGCTATTGGATGTCGTATCGACGGATATAATTGATTTGAGAAAATCGGTAGGAAATCACGGGGGGATATACTTTGAAATCGCTTCACCGCTCACCCTTACTAGTCGTGGCACGACAAATTACCGTGTACGGCTTTTAGTCTGACCTCACGCATTTTGGAATGTAGTTTTTGTAATTGTCGCCAGTGGCTACTTTTTTCTTTTTGCAATTTGAGGCAGAATAGCTAGCTTTTATCAAAGGAACTGGGTAAAGGCACTAAATAGGGCTAGGGTGTATTAGGAGGGGTGGTGCTACCTCTCTCAGCTTATCCGAAACGAAGTTTAATTAATCCGTGCTAGTGCTTTAAAGTGCAACCGCTTCAGAGGTTGGATTGAGCATGGCCTAGCTAGCTATAATGAGAGTTATGTTGGTGCTCCCTTGATCATGCAAGGCGCTACTTTGATGATGTTGCCGCCGCTGCTGGTGGCTTTCAGGATTTGCGCGATATTAAATCCATCCCCAATAAAATTTTATACAGTGTGTAGTGGGTAATATAAAAGCTCTTGGTTTCGTGCCTTTAAGTTGTTTGGTGCCCCAGCCCACCCTCGAGCGGCTGCCCCCCCCTTCAGGACGGAAAGCCCCGCCACCTGGCGGACCGGAGGGGCACGCGCGGTGAGCACGTGGCAACGCTCGTGCCCAACTGACAGCTCGCGCGTGACGCACGTGACCCAAGCTTCTATTAGTGTATGCGCGGCACGAGGCGGCACCTGCCCCCGACTTTCTGGGGGCACACAGTATGCTCGCTATAGACATCCAATTGACGTCATTACGCACGCGGGGTCTGACACCCCCGATAACGTGCCCCGTGGTCCCGTGGACTGCGCTACGGACAAGTCGACAACGTCGTGGAAGGCGACATCGGGCTGAACACGCCCGCTTTTCTAAATCTGACAGATTAATTCTAAATCTGAAAATAAAATTAAATCTGAACAAACAATGTTACATGTGTGTACCACATTATTGGCACTTATTGATTTGGCGCGAGACTCACCAGGAAACAAGCCCGCTTTCCCGCCCAATTGAACACTACCCCGTAACCACTACACTTCGTTTTAGTATACGAATTGAAAATACGCCCGCTACGGCCCCCTCTGCCACACAGTTTAACTCATTTTGCAGTCGCTTTGGCGGACCAACGCGCCCAAGTCCGCCATCGAAACCAACGCAGGCTCGTCCTCCCGGTTCTCCACCACGATCGGCTGCAGCAGTGCAGTCGACACCAGAGACCGAGGGTCCGGTATGCTCCGGACCAAGTGAGAGACCTCCACCACCACGGATTGCGACGACACCGCGTCCACCAGTGTCACGTTCGTTTACACCGTCACAGCCTGAGACTTGGCTAGCCTGAGACTTGGCCGTGCGCGGCGCCAGAACCACCTCCGCAGTCTTCAGCCACCTCGCATCGCTCGACTGCAACTCGCCCGACACTTGCCATTCACCACCGTTCTTCACGCGGTGCAGCAGCACGAAGTCGTTTTAACGAGGAACTGCCAGGCTAGCCATGCTCACGCTCTGCACGTCCAGAGCGCCGACCAGCAACGCAGACGCGCGATCCAAAGCCACAGACACCAACTGCCTCGGCGGCAACGATACCGTCTCGTTCACGAATACCATCGAGCGCAGCGCCACAGACAGGTCCAGGTCGCGACGCCGCCATGAGATCGCACCACCCAAGTCAGCTAATTAGAAATAAATAAATCTAGTTCGTCAAATTAGGTGTTCTTTAATTTAGAAAATTATTTCTTAAAAGCGGGCGTGTTCTATGGGAGAGCCCGACATCGCGCCTTTGTGGACCTGATGGCTGACAACTACGCAGTGAAGTGGTCTGCGGACTACGAGGGGCAAAAGCGTTAATGAAGCACTGAGACTACTGGGTGGACGAAATTGAGGCGGACACCGACTAAATCACAGGAGGGTAGTAAGTGGCAACCGTGTTCCATTACAAAAAAAGCTTTGTCCTGACTGGCTCCTAGAGCACATGGTACCGTGCACCAGGTGTCGACAAAAGTGACGGGTCACTCTTTATGTAATCATGGGTACACTGGATTGTATCTCGTTACAACCCCCTTAGCTGAAATTCACCTGATTCTCTAATCACAACTGATTCTCCGATCAGAAGTGAAAGAATTAAAACACCCAAAGGTGAATTCTCACGCTGAGCAGCCACGAGACTGTCGCGACTCTCAGTCACACCCACAGTGACCTGTGCTCTCAAAGCACACTGCGGTTTGCATCCGCACACTCACAACTGTGATGGCCGCAAAGCCAACCTTCAGAGCTGCCTTAGTTCCTGCGCTAGCGCGGGGACAGTTCTTTGGCACAGAGTGCAATAGCATCCAAACGTGTGTCTTTCGCCCACCGTTTGCACCCGAGGACACGACAGTGCTCGCAAACGCGTCAGCGGCATGGTGACTCCCGCGAGGGGCTACACCGACAAGGGTCCAATCATTGCGTAC